TAGATCATTCTGCTTCAGTTTGTGGGCTACAGCCAGTTTATGGTAGCAGCACGTTAACAGCTTCATCCTTTGATCAGACCCCCGTATACCCTAGTCAGCGCCCCTAGTTACACCAATCAGCGTGCGATTACCGTACAGTGAAGTAAGAAGATATGATTCTACACTGTATTGAAGTAAACATATATTGTTTGAACGGGTTTTGATAATCACTTAGAAAAAGAATGTTATTCTCACTTTTAAATTCACTGACTTAGAGATTCTGTGTTTCACACACCAACATTGATCCTTATCACCACTAAGAGCCAGATGCTGTTTCTAAGTCGTTAAAGACATCGTAAAATAGGAAAGATCCCCTGGAAAAGGTAGGGAGGGGAGATCGGGACGGAGATAAGAATTGACTTTTGACCTTAGGGGACTTTGGAATTTCAAGTCCTGGAGAGAACTATTGAACCCGGCCAGAAGCGAATCCAGCCAGTCAGGGCACTTGGGGGAGGTGGTCAGTTTAAACAGCTCCTCCCCAGGGGTTCTCTGATTCGCTTGGGAGAAAAGTGGGAAGGAAGAATCGACAAATCTCCGCCCCAAAGACAGATAGAAATACTGACGTTTGTGTGTGTAAAATTGCTTTTGGGTTTGGTGAGTGGTTGACTCCGTTAAACTGTGTCCGCATCGCATCATTGACAGAAGGCACTCTCTTCTCGTTCGATGGGTGGTTTGATCCCGATACATTTTAGCCGCATCGCATCACGAATCTAAAAGCCCGGGGTACCCGGAGTACTCTGTATAACTTGTATATGTGTTTGGTTTCCTACTAGAAGTAAACTCAGATAATTTGTTATAACTTTGATTCCGGTGTTTTCAATTCCTTTCTTAATTTAATAGAGATCCAGCCTCATCCAACGAACGGCGCGTAGCAGAGGTATTCTACTCCAACAACAGCCAATCACAATGCGTGACGTCATTGGTAAGCAACGGACCCCGAACACATATGGTAGGCCGAACACATTGTGGGTGTTTCTCAATCGCGAGTACACTTGCTTGGTAGCACATGTCTGCCGAGCATCTTGCTTCAGAAGCGAGTCAAGAATACTTCCTGGCATTCGGAAAACGAAGTGTGGAACACGCTAGCAAGTGTGCAGGTGTGCGTCATATGAGAGGCCCTCGCCTTACATCTTCCGCCAAAGATTTGGGGAATTTGGTCCGTGCGCAAAGCATTGTGGGGATTTTAAGACCGCGGAGTCTACTCATGTGCAGCCTCGATATTTCTCCAAACGGAGTACGCCGGGCTCGGTAGATTTCCAAGTATGCTGGAGATTGGAACAGTACTTCGGCGGCACTCGATGACGTAGTATGCTTGAAATAGTGGCTCTGCAGCAGCTTTACTCGCGATTGAGAAACACCCACGGCCATGGTTTCATTCCATTTCAAAGTGCTGTTTGACGCGGTGTAAACTTTGCGCACTGCCACTCCAACATCCAATCACAGAGCTTGAGAACTAATCACGGGGTTTGTCAAACAAAGCACATGGTGTAGTCCCAAATGATAGCTGAGGATTCTGGGTAGTGTAGTGTCTTCTGCCATCCTAAACTCCGAAAAAATATTTGTTTCTCCCAATCGAAGGGGAAAAACACAAAAGCATTGCACACAATTTAAACCAATCAATGTTGTGTAATTAACAAGGATAATCTGGTGTTTTTTAGTTGATGAGTAGTGCAGATATCACTGTAAAATCAATCGACAGTAAAGAGAATAGTTACTTCCGGGTTTAAAATCCTCCGTTATCCAATGGGAATGGACGCTCACATTGCCTTTAAATGCCGCCGACATGGACCGATGCGGTGCTTCCCTGAGCGTCAAATACCGCCGCCGATGGGAATACATTGCAATCAGTTGAAAGCTCTTTGCATCCGTTTATGAAGCTGAAGGAGCCTCGGCGCGTCCCAACTGCACGCCACGGGACCCTGACCAAGCGTCGCTCCTGGACGTTTAGGGAGTGAGAGTGTGTTGTCAGGGGATGGCCTGATTTCAGAGATGACAAACCTGTAATAATACATTTAATTTGTAAAAAATAAAAAATGACTTTTCTGTAAATTACCTCTTTCTGTAATATGCCATTCAAAAATGCACAATGCGGCCTAACAATAGGAAAAAGATAGTTGCTGGAGTTGGTGCTTCGATGTGACTAGCCGGGTCACAAATTCTTATCATTTTGCAGCTAAAAGGAACAGCTAAATGTCATTTGGGCTCGACGGTTTCAGCAAATATGAGAAAAAGGTATTTTTTATTAACATTACCAGCTACAGCTTCATCTATTTTTTTCACAGGAAATGTTAAACTTGTTTTCATAATGTTTTGGCAATAACTTGCTTTTAGATAATTTGAGCGTCAGACCTGAAGGTAATCAAACTATCCAACGTCATGTGGTATAGCTTTCAGCAACTGATCTTGATCTTTTAGGGGAAGAGTTTATCATCTGCATCATGTCCAATACTTGAGGGATAACTGTTCAACCAGAAAAAGTAAAAAGAGTGAATAGGATTACCTTGTCCGACACTGTTAATAACTACAGGGCTATTGATTTCTTTACAAAACCAAACAGCTTGACTGATGCTATAAGAAACCCATTTTCAATCTCCCTAGACTTTCTAAAAATGTGAAACATTAAAAATAATATGTTTTATGAATTGATTCTGCATATTAAATTTGAAAAGTTTTATTTTTAAATGATCCCAAAATTAATATAAAATCAAATTGAAGTGCTGTCAATACCTGGTGATTTTCCTTTTTTTCATTGAGAAAATAGCTGTTTTAAGAGTATTTTAAGGTCATCATCAATAATCAAAATGTGTATTCATAAATCAGGTCTTCACCAGTTCATTCAAAATATGTGTATTGTTTTGGTACATTTGATATTTGGTAAATACGGACCAAGTCCAACCCTGTTTCCGGTATTGAATTCTACATAAAGAGGACAAGACAAGAGTTGTTGCCTCCTTGGCCACAACAGTACCTTTAAGTGAACGCTACTGTCGGAGTAAACAAATACTTTGTTCTGTAGTGGTCTTCTTACTACTCACTCGTCTAGCCTAAAAAAGTATAGATTTCCGTTGAACGAAAGGGCAGTGGGAGTCAGGATTTTTACTGCATGTAGTATGAGATTAATTAAAACGTGCAGACTTGATTACATATTTGTGATGCTGCATTTCCTACAATGTGTTTATTTAAATGCTGAACTACAATTTGTTTTAATGGAGTACAATTGCTAAATGCTATGTCAGAAATACTAACCCTTCAAATACTGTATCACAACTTGAACATAAAAATAAGGATATGACCTCTCACAAGATGCATCTTTATCCCAAAATGTTTAGATGAAATGATTACACAAAATGTCTTGAGTGTAATGGGTATGTCTGCTGGCCAATGACACAGACACAGTACTGAGAGCAGCTCAACATTTCAATTCATTTTGATAATTGATTTGAATAATAATTTAAAAAAAGAAACTGACAAAATGATCTAATTACAGCTTCAAAGGTGAGCAACCAACAGATTAATTCACATTATAAATTGGAAATAATTGTTAGTTGCTGCCGTATTCTAAAGACATTATTCTGAGATCACATCAAGACATAAAGAACATTAAATAGCTAGAATTTATTATTCAAACACTCAAAGAAAGTTAATTATATTTGTTTTACTACTAATAGTACCTGTTTGTTATAAAAGTTAGTAAAAATGATTACAGAAAGTATATTGTGCATTAAAAATAAACAGAACATATTTACAGAACATTAAATCCGGTGTAGGTACCATATGTGCACGGCCTACCCAGCTTGTACCATCCATGCTTGTACGGCTTGTACCCACTTGTTCTTATTATACATCCATGGTGTCACTCCACGGAGTTCATCCGTCACGGAGGGGTAGTGTGTAGGGGTAGGGTGTAGGGCGTGGTTTGGGATGGGGCCTTAATGTACCCCCCCGCGAGATATTGGACAAAAGAAACTCGGCTAGTAGTGTCAACTAAATCCATAGTAACAAAAGTGCTTTAAACAAGGTCAATTACGAATTTATGTTCTCAATTACGGGATTGAATATTAAATTAGTTTAGATTAGATTTATTGTCCCCAGGGGGAAATTCATTTGCACAGCTCTGTGAAAACAATATGAAATCAACAAAAAATAAGACAGACAACTACAGATAGCACCACACATGATGGTTACTTGTTATTATTTAGGGCTGCAAAGCCTGTATGGATCAGGATTTTGCCAAAGCGAGCCCTTTTACTATAATAATAATATGTTATTTGGCCTATGTATTATATAAACATATGGCAGTTAGACTCTAGAGACAAACCAGGGGACTTTATTTTAATTTGTAATCTGTGTCTGTCCATTTGGTGTAGTATTTTATCCAATATTTCATTTGGTTTATACATTAGTCACTTTCTTATGAAATGGCTTGGTTTGAACATTCAATCCTGAAAATAATTTTTCTTTAATCCTGATATAGAGTAGATAGTAAGTAAATCTGATAGGAAAACGAGTTAAGGGATAGAGGAGAAAAGGTTATGGTATAATTACAGAGCCTGTCAATTTATAAATTGAGGAAATCAATGTTAGTCTGTTAACCAAAGTGCAGCCATCTAATAATCTGCACTATATATTATTAAAGATCAGAGGAAAATAACAGAATGAGAGGGGTAAACCCGGAATAAAAGAAGCAAAGAGATTGTCGAGCAGTGAGAAGGAAAAAAGCTTGGTGTGTCAAATAATTATATTGCCAGTATTTTTCGTTGTTGTGAAAAAAAAATCGCCCCCTCGGATTTTTTAACAGCCCCCTCAGTCATCTCATCCTGGAGCCGGGCCTGATTAAAGCTAATATTTATTTATACAACTGTGACTACAATCTTTAGAAATCCAATTAATTATCCCTTCGAAACTCTATACTCTTGATTTATCAGTCATTTTCATTTCACACCAATAAAAACTAAACAGTGTTTATGTTTCAAATCTTTTAATAAATGTTTTCAGGCAGATTCGCGAGCTTGAAGCTGTGCTGTTTACTGCTGAGGGGCGCCCATGATCACTGGTCCAACAGAAACCACGACCTTTGACTGAGCCTTGCTCTTGTCCGCAGCCCGAACGTCTCTCCCTACACACAGACATAAAAACAATGTCAGAATACAATACATATTTCACATGAGTTCTGCAGGTTATACATTCATCTCTTACTTTTTCTGAAGCATGATGGTTCACAGTAGCGACCCGCTCCAGTAGTGCACACGGCTGTGCTGCAGTGAATGAACACCTGAACAAGAAAAATAGCATTGGCAGAGCAATACAAAAATAAATAGTTGCAGCAGTAAACACTAGATTTAACAATTACCTGTTCACTCAGGGGTTCCATTGAATTAGGGTTGACAAAGGTAAACATTTTGAAAATGAAACGCCTGAAGTGACTTGGATACTGTAGACCAGATGACGGCCCGACCGGAACCAGTTCGGACAGGTAGCGATCATCCCTGTATGGACACCTGGAGGAAAGAAAAATGATATCAAGAAGCAACAGTGAAATTAAATACAATAAGACGCCAGTCATTTGAGCCTGGTGATATAAGCTATCAGCAACATTTTGTTGACCAAAAAGTAATTGCAGGATGGAAAATCCAAATATATTTTTGAAGTTGTTGAGAAACATATTGTGTGTTGTTGACCAGAGAGCACTGACACATTTATTTCTCAACTCTAAAATGTACAATATTAAGAAATGTCTTTCAATGTTGCCTTCAAAATTCTGTTAGTATCGATCGGACTATGGTATTCATAAAATTATATTCAGTTTTCTCAATGAGTAGACAGATGAACAGCATGGTAAACAAGGTGTAAATTGGTGTTTTAGTTACCCGTCTATCAGAATGTCCCACTGAGGCAGACTGTGAGGGTAGGGGCTTGTAGTTGTCCAACAGCGACCAAGAGTCAGGACGAGGTTGGGATCCGTTTTTTCCAGGAGTTGAACCTCCACATACACAGGGTCCCTCAGTACTTTGGTCACAGGATAGTCTGTGTCCGTGTAAAATGATGTATAGGCCACATCCACTGTGAGAGCAGAGACAGGTTAGTATGACAGCCAGTAACATAAAATGATCTACAAACAGGCTGCACACACTTACCTTCATTACAACCCTTTGTATTGCATTCGCCATTAGCCAACCTCAGGTGTACACTGATGGGTCCCAGGGCAGCGACTGGTACGGGAGGGGCAACAAGATCTAATACTTCTATAACCAAAGTCTCAACAGAAGTACCGATGTACCTGCACTGGAAAAGCAATCTAAAAGAGAAAACTGGCATTACTTTGCTTGGTTAGATCTTTTATTTTGACACTAAAAACGTATTGAAATAAGTACCACCTACTCAAAGTAGCTGTCCCTGGTAATGGCTCCACGATCCCCAACTCCCACCTCAAATGAGGAAGACATCCTGTTCTCATAGATTATAACACCAGGCTCTTCCTATTCACAGTAAAAAAAAATAGGATAACAGTGTTTGAAAACTATCTGTATTAGCTGAAAAGTAGAGAAAAGCAGGCTTACCATAACAACAGAGCCACAGGTAGAAACAGGAAAGTTGTAGATGGCAAAGTCTGAATTAGAATCAACATGTGTACAGCCTTGCCCTTGTCCCAACAGTGAGATTGACTCGAGGTTAATGTTGGGCAGAGTGGCATCTTTGGCCACAACCACGATGAACTGGGCATCCTTGGTGCACTGGACAGTCACTGGTGGCACAAAAACAGGTATGGATCAAAGTTGTTTATAAAAACAAAAAACAGAAAGATTAAACACTTTTTTTTTGGATCAACCATTTATGTCCAAACATGACAGCCGTTTAGAATGCTCACCTGTCTTTCCATAGTAACACTGTCGTCCATCAAAGCAGCAGTTTATATCTTCACATCCAGCGGCAGAGATATCAGAACTTCCACATGGGATTCTCACGTTTTCTGCAACGACACAACTCTGTGCTGCAGGCTGCTTTACCACACTTGGTTTGTAAACTGGTGTCTGTGGAGCTGGTTGAACCTGCGGCGTTTGAGGATACTGAGGGAAATGTGGTGGTTGTGGAGCTGGTTGAACCTGCGGCGTTTGAGGATACTGAGGGAAATGTGGTGGTTGTGGAGCTGGTTGAACCTGCGGCGTTTGAGGATACTGAGGGAAATGTGGTGGTTGTGGAGCTGGTTGAACCTGCGGCGTTTGAGGATACTGAGGGAACTTTGGTGGTTGTGGAGCTGGTTGAACCTGCGGCGTTTGAGGATACTGAGGGAAATGTGGTGGTTGTGGAGCTGGTTGAACCTGCGGCGTTTGAGGATACTGAGGGAACTTTGGTGGTTGTGGAGCTGGTTGAACCTGCGGCGTTTGAGGATACCGAGGGAAATTTGGTGTCTGTGGAGCTGGTTGAACCTGCGGCGTTTGATGATACTCAGGGAACTTTGGTGGTTGTGGAGCTGGTTGAACCTGCGGCGTTTGAGGATACTGAGGGAACTTTGGTGGTTGTGGAGCTGGTTGAACCTGCGGCGTTTGATGATACTCAGGGAACTTTGGTGGTTGTGGAGCTGGTTGAACCTGCGGCGTTTGAGGATACCGAGGGAAATTTGGTGTCTGTGGAGCTGGTTGAACCTGCGGCGTTTGAGGATACTGAGGGAAATTTGGTGTCTGTGGAGCTGGTGGAACCTGCGGCGTTTGATCATAAAGAGGCTTCCGTGCTTGTGGATCTTTAGGGATCCATGGTGGATGTGGATGTGGATCTTTAGGGGTCCATGGTGGATGTGGATGTGGATCTTTAGGGATCCATGGTGGATGTGGATGTGGATCTTTAGGGGTCCATGGTGGATGTGGATGTGGATCTGTAGGGGTCCATGGTGGATGTGGATGTGGATCTTTAGGGGTCCATGGTGGATGTGGATGTGGATCTTTAGGGGTCCATGGTGGATGTGGATGTGGATCTTTAGGGGTCCATGGTGGATGTGGATGTGGATCTGTAGGGGTCCATGGTGGATGTGGATGTGGATCTGTAGGGGTCCATGGTGGATGTGGATGTGGATCTGTAGGGGTCCATGGTGGATGTGGATGTGGATCTTTAGGGGTCCATGGTGGATGTGGATGTGGATCTTTAGGGGTCCATGGTGGATGTGGATGTGGATCTGTAGGGGTCCATGGTGGATGTGGATGTGGATCTTTAGGGGTCCATGGTGGATGTGGATGTGGATCTTTAGGGGTCCATGGTGGATGTGGATGTGGATCTGTAGGGGTCCATGGTGGATGTGGATGTGGATCTTTAGGGGTCCATGGTGGATGTGGATGTGGATCTTTAGGGGTCCATGGTGGATGTGGATGTGGATCTTTAGGGGTCCATGGTGGATGTGGATGTGGATGTGGTGGGATCCATGGTGGCTGTGGCAATGTAGAGAGCTTTGGATTTTGAGGTGGTGAGACGCCTTTTACCATCCGTGGTGAAGGGTCTTGCGAGTTCTGAGCTTTTTCTTGAGCTTGGGTTCTAACTGAGCATCCTAGCAAGGCTAGTGCCACTAAACAGGTGAAACTCCAGTGCTTCGCCATGATTTCACAGCAATTTGACCTGGATAGTCCCCAAGAGTACTAAGCCTTGCTGCCACATTTATATGTGACTAGGTTTGATGTTTGAAAACCACTCCTCTGAGGCAAAATAACCTCCAATCATAGCTTCCTTTCTTTTCAAAAGCCAATCAAAAGCTTTAGGGGTGTATCATGTAATGTTTATTTTTTATTAATCGGATGGATGATTTGATAATGCTCTTGGAAACGTAACAAGATCAGTTGTGTGGGATAAAACACGTGTCCTTTCAAGTCAGGCCAGTTGACAGTTTGACATTTAAGTATTTATTGACAAGTCCAACATTCGGGTCACAAAAACCTTTTTAAAGGTCGTTGTGGCCTCAAGCTTTATTTGTCATTAAATGTTTATTTTGCAAGGGCACAATGAAGAACATATTGATTTTCTTTGGATCTGTAGCAAAGTTTGCCATAATATGCACTTCAACCCAATAGGTATGTGGGTATGAGCATTTTACATATATATTTTTGTTTGCTAAGCAGAGAGCTGTTAATCCTAATTGTATGATATCTGAACTCCTCCCTGTTTGAGACTGATTTATGGAATGATAATTGTGTCGGTGTGTAATATGAAAAATAGGTTTTAGGCACATACTGTACATTGAAATATGTAACCAAATTATTATGCTTAAATTATTTATAATGCATAACATGTTTTATTTTGTTGCTCAATACATTTGCAATTATCCCAAAAAGTGCAAAAAGAAACCCCCCTCACTTGACTCATTGTTAAGGTGTGCCACAGATAGGTTAGAGCCATTTTGAGAATTGGATAACCCCATAAACTAATGAAGCTCAGTGCAAGTTCAACCAGGAAGACCGTCTTTTCTCATTATTTTACTATTTCTATGTTACTACTCTCTCTCCTCTCAATAAGTGATCGGGGGTGTCACTCCCCAGCTTAACCAATCACTTTGCTCTATTCTCACAAGCCTATCATAGCGCTCTGCTAAACCTTTTAAATCTGCTCTTCCCCCTCTGACAGCTGTCATTTCAGGTGACTCAACGCAACCCTCCTCCACCCCTTTTCACCTCCTGTCCCTCTGAATTTAGGGTCAAGCTAAGCCACTCCACTTCAGACCGACCCAACTATCCATTCACCACCACCAGTGTCTAGACCCCGGGGGGGTTTCATCGGATCGGTTCTCCCCTCCCGAATGATACTCCTGCACAACGGGGCCTAATCGCCAAAACTCCATTACATTCATTTGTGTATTCCTGGCAATAAATATGTATTCTTACATCAAAACCGTCTCTCCTGATTGAAATGGAGTTGGGGAGATGTGCTCCTTGTCTTTGAAAGTAACACTCGGATGCTGGCATGCTGCTGTAGGTAAATTGGTTAGAAAAGGTGAAAATACTTTTTATCCATTTGTTCCACATTTGCTCTTGTTTAAAAAGAAAAAAAAAGGCAAGGACAGGGACAACACTTGTTTCTATTCATCTTGGTAAATAACGCCAGCTCTCTTTCTGAAAATATTGCACCGGCTAGTTGGCCAACATACTATTCAGCGACGAGGCCTTATAATCTTCTGAAAATAAACTGAAATGTAACAACCTTTTCATTGTTTAACTCATTGCACAAATCTCCATTAGAAAGTCATCTTATAAAGCCAGTTAAGTGTGATATTAACTTGCTGACTACTAATCAGCCACCATAGCCTGGCCGTGGCTAATAGCAAGTTTGCCTTGGCTATCTACCCGCAAGTTATTGAGTAAGCCAAACAGGCGTAAGCTAATTCTAGGTTACTGCAATTCTATTTGGTTAGCTAATAACAAATAGCAACACATACTTCCTAGCTTGCAAGCTTATAAAAACAAACATACAAAGGAAACTTCAATAGCTTCAAACTACATGTGTCGCCATTGTGGGCCATTTTATGTATTAATGTCCAGACAACACTTTTGCTCTTCTACATTTGATTGACTGGTTTGAGAATTTGGAGCAATATAGCCTACAAATTATAAGCCTATACTGTACTGTATTTCTGGACTATTCCATAGTTCATGTCAAGTATTTCCTTAAATTTAATTTAAAAATCGTAATTTTTTATCTTTTTTCATGTGCTATCTATGTTACTTAAACTTCCTTACATTGCCCTGTCAACGCTTTACTACAAAACATTCACTATACGTAGGCAATAATAAGTAATATCTTCAGAGAAAATGTAAGTGAAATCGCATTACAGACATTAAGACCTACTAAATTCCTTAGTGTAATCCATCTTGCAACCACATTGGAAATAAAACTAATTTAGAAATGACCTACTCCATAACCTGTTGAACCACAAGGGCCTTTTGCACTAGACTTTGGGAGTCCAGACACTCACGGGCCGTCTCCACGGCAGCGTTAAAAAATCTTGAAACGCTTCTGCCCATTCACTTTGAATGGGGTGACGTCACTTTTTTTCGCTTTCGCCGAAATGCATTGTGGGCAGGCGAGCGGAGATTCTCAGGATTTTCAAGATCCAAAGTTGAACAATGTTCAACTTTTGAGGCTGAGGTGGAAGCGTCAGCCAATCAAATCCCGTGTACGCAAATCTGACAGTTCAAGCTCTAGCCAATCAAACGGCGTGTATGCTGGGAGAGAAATACCGCAGGTCATTTCCTCATATTCCAAAAAATGGAGGAGAAATTAGCGGTAGCGAATCAATCACCCGGTGCTTTATGACCAGACCTACCGGGATATAAACCGGAGGAGCCAGGCATGGAGGGAGGTGGCAGAGACAGTGGTAGGTTTTCGCCTGTTTTGGGGAGTTTATATCCAGTTTACTTCGGGCTTTTTTTGCTTCGTATGTCGCGGGCGGGAGATTCATGTGATTGGTTGCTCGCAAAAAATCCTCAAGCTTCAGATACGCCCACCTCCAAGATTTTTTTAACGCTGCCGTGGAGACGGCCCGTCACAGTAGCCTAGCTTCAATTTACATTTTCTCTGCTGACCTCTCACACAGTAGCTTATAAAACAAATAATTGGGAAAGCATTTAGTGAATGAAATGATAGAATTATGGAAAGCTATTGACCTTTTTTTCTGGGAATATGTTTTAATAGAGTTTATAAGGAAAATTAAACCCTTTAGCATTACATCTTATCAGATCCATGTCATAAAAGAGAAAATCCATTTAAAAACAATATTGACATTATTTCTACACAGGTTTGAACTTGTAATTTAATCAACTATAGTCCTACCTGTCACAACATGAACAGATTATACTTTCTTGATTGTGCAACTACAGTTTGCTTATACACAACAACCTTTATTTAATTAAAATGTATTTCCTACACATGCAGTATGTCTATATCATGGACATTGAACTGTTTATTGCATTATATGTAGCTGAGCTACTTTATTTTACAGCTTAATACTTTATATATAACACGATAATAACTATTGCATGCATTTTTCTTAAATAAATTAACCACAATCTTACACATTTATTGATAATTGAACACACAAAGGAGTCCTTCATAATGAGTACTTGTACAATTAACAATTAAGCTGCACTTTGCTGATAATGCTCTCTTGTTCAACTAATACAACTGATTATTGTGAAGCAAATCCTATTCTAGTACTGAAAACCAGAGAAGCTGCAGAAAAACCACTCAAGAGCAAGCAATAAACGTGTTTAAAATTAATTCCGGTGGCTTCTCAAATCACAGTTAACACACTCAAGGTGCAAGAGAGCTGTATCATCGCTTTCATCTGCATGTTTTGTCTTCGTTGGCAGATGCTACACTCTAAAAACAAATGCTTTGGCTCAACAAAGAAAATCAACGCAACAGTTTGCATCAATGTTTATTGAGTTATGACAACTTCTAATGAAATTGTGTTAAACCAACAAACTTATTTGAGTTAGGGGAGGCTTTTCTTCTACAATCAGAGGTGTTTTTAATTACCACTTACTTAATTATTGGTATAAACTAGGGCGTTAATAACGCGTTAACGCAAAAAAAAATTAACGCCACTAATTATTTTAACGCGATTAACGCATGTGTGGCCGCCCCGTAATTTCAGAGCGCATCGAGTTTAAAATACCATCTACAAGCTGATGCTGACAGCCCCGCTGATGCTGACAGCCCCGCTCCTGCCGCCCGCTTGTGGCAGACCACACTTCCACGCTCACCGGCAGGCCCGGACTGGCCATCGGGAGGACCGGGAGGGTGTGTGGCGCGAGCGAGGCACACCTTACGTGTTGTTGTTGTTGTTAGCATCTGGTGCTAGCTAGCTGCGCTAACGGATATAAGGAGCTGTTTCAATGAAAACAGAGGAGCGACATTTAGCCGACAACTGCGCCGAGCACTTGACTTTTGTTGGAGTAGAACACTTCTGCTACGCGCCGTTCGTTGGATGAGGCTGGATCTCTATTAAATTAAGAAAGGAATTGAAAACACCGGAATCAAAGTTATAACAAATTATCTGAGTTTACTTCTAGTAGGAAACCAAACACATATACAAGTTATACAGAGTACTCGAGCACTCCGGACTTTCAGGTTTGTGATGCGATGCGGATAAATGCGTCAGGATCAAACCACTCATCAAACCAAAAAGAAATTGGACTTCAGGTTTGTGATGCGATGCGGATACAGTTATCAGGACCTGCCAACTCACCAAACCCAAAAGCATTTTTACACTCAAAAACCTCAGTATTCATATCTGTTTTTGGGGCGGAGATTTGTCGAGTCTTCCTTCCCATTTTTCTCCCAAGCGAATTAGAGAGCCCCTGGGGAGGAGCTGTTTAAACTGACCACCTCCCCCAAGTGCCCTGACTGGCTGGATTCGCTTCTGGCCGGGTTCAATCAGAGGTCTGACCAGAGAGTGAGATCCCAAGCCACACCAGGTCAAAAGTCAATGTTTATCTTTACCTTATCTTACTCTACATTCCTTTCCCAGGGGATATTTTCACCTAAACTATCCTCCTTCAGACATTTAAACTCTTCTCCACCTATTTAACGATGTCTTTTAACGACTTAATGACGACATCTGCTTT